TTAAATTTTTTACCTCGATCACCTAGTTCACGCGTCAATACATATTATTTTAGAGTCGTACATTATAATAAATTAATTATTCCTAAACAACCTAACTTCGTCAGATGTAATCATAAACTGAATTCTATCTAGATTAGTGTTTAATAATCTAGGTATCATCCATATTATGATGTTTTCTATCAATGTCTCTTATTATGATATTTAAATTTTAATATTTCGATATATATGTTGCTTAGAATATTCGTATCTGTCCTGTAGTTGACTGTATTGTTGTTTGTTATATGGTACATTTCGCTTATATTCCTTTTGTACCAGTTGTCTTCTCTGTCTAAAATGGCTGTCTCTTCAAATTTGAACTTGTGTCCTGTTTTAAAATGGTGCTCGGCAAACACAGTAGTATTATTCTTTTGAGCATTTGTAGGTTTACAATCATTCTTATGTTGTTCTAATCTTTTTTTTAATTTTTGGTTAGTTTGTCCTATGTAGCATTTGTCACATTCACATGGTATTTTGTAAACAAGGTTCGATTGTTTTAGTTTATCAACCTTGTCTTTTAGTTTTGTGAATATTGAATTTATTTTAACTAAGTTATAAAAAACTAGTTTTACATTAGTATTTCTGAAACATTTTTTTATTTTATTCGACAAAGGTTTGATAAACGGAAACTTAATAATTTTTTTGTTATTCAATTCTTTTACTTATTTCTGATCTCTATCTATTTTAAACTTACTAAACACCATGTGTATGAGACTCGTAATTGGTATTCTTTAAGATTAGTTCTATTCTTTTCTTATTTTCTATATAAAATTTCTTACTACTTAACGTCAATGCTCTAGATAATAAACCTTTAATGACCCCAATTTTTTAGCTCATTGGATGATTCTAATTATAATTTATACATCTACCAGAGCTTGTAGGTTTCGCATACCAGATCATTACAATGGAACCGTCTTCGTTTCTTATAATATTCATATCTAGGAAGGGTAAGGTTCTATTATTTTCTACTGCCATTGTGAATTGGATCTTATTATTGACACTATTAAAGGTCTTAAGTGTTTGGTCCATTCTATCCTTAGGTATTGCTGTGACAACGTCATCAACATAAACCTTCAGGAAAGGAACTGGAAAGGGTAACATGCCTTCCATATTTTTTAGGATATAATTCATCACTAGATTGGCTAGCACTGGACTCGCTGGATTACCCATGCTAGCGCCATCCATTTGTTGGTAGATAGACCCGATGATCTGGAAGTAGCTCGATTCAAAACAAAATTGTATTAGTTTCAACAAGATATTCTTCGGGACTTTTATGAATTTTCCAAGTTCTTTCCAATCTTCATTAATTGTTTTTAATACCAGTTCTTTTGGAATGTTTGTAAAAAAGGAGATTACATCCAATGATACAAGTATGTATCCTTCTGGTAATTTTATTTCTCTTATAAAGTCCGCAAACTCAAATGAATTCTTGATGGAGAAAACAAGGCGTTAGCCGAGCACCATTTTAAAACAGGACACAAGTTCAAATTTAAAGAGACAGACATTTTAGATAGAGAAGACAATTGGTACAAAAGAAACATAAGCGAAATGTACCATATAACATATAATAATACAGTTAACTACAGAACAGACACGAATAATCTAAACAACATCTATAACGAAATTTTAAAATCTAATTATCATAACAGGACACACTGATAGAGGACATCATAATACGGAAGATACCTAGATTATCAAACACTAGTCTAGATAGAATTCAGTATATGATTACGTGTTACGAGATAAGGTGTTTTTAGTATTAATTAAACTATAATATGTTAAGTTTTAGTGTAATGTATGACTTTGAAAATAAAATAATATGTATTAAAGCGTGAACTAAGTGATCAAGGTAAAAAAAAAAATTAGAGTTTATTTATTGTAATGTTTATATATTTTTTTAGCAAGTCATAATTAAAAAATTTGTAGTTGCTGAGGAAGTTCCCAGTAAAAGACAAAACTTTCAACAAGGTCATACCAAATTGTTCATCAAATTTATTAACAGTCTTTAATTTCCCTTTGAAACTCATATTTTATTATTTGTAATTTTTTTTATTAATACCTAGTGGGTAACCTCGTAACTTTATAAATTTGTCAAGCTCCTAATTTCTCTCGAACTTCATAAACGATTCAAACTTGTAAATTTACTTTTTAAAAAAAATCGTTTTTGTTATTAAAATAAAGTTAAACCGTGCTAAACTACGGCAGCTTTTACGGAAATGTCGTAATGAGTTACGCAACATAATACAATTTGTTACTATTCGTTTTTTGTTATAAGAAGGGCTCATTGGAGTTACTTAACGCTATCATCGATCATGCAATGATACGCTAAACAAGCTTAAGATGAGTTTCTATTAGTTCGCATYAAAATAAAGTTTATTAAAATTTATATTGAATCAACATTGGTTTCAAAGAGATATGTACGTACAAATCACAATCTTCGTARCCGCATTTACCTGTTCGACGACCGCACTACTTGGATATGACTGCGGAGGAGCAGCTGCTAACATTATCACTGTTTCGCTCCTTTGTACAGGGGATTGCAACTTCCCCATACTAACGCCGACAAAGACAACCACATACGTTCAGCATGTTGCAGTTAGAAGACCATAGTGAAACAACAATTTACCAGTGCCGAATTAAGATAGATCGAACAATTTACTACTGCGATCTGTAATAAACACAGGGATGTTCGCTTTTAACTCTTTCACGCAAGCTAGTGGCCTTAAGGTTAATACAACGGATTACCGGAACATCACTTTAGCTGGATCGGTGGGAACGAATGACAGATGCCTTTGGACGTGTATTTCCTGGTAAAGTGTGTACTGGTATGAAGGCCCGTATGATTAGACCGAATTTCTAACCCAGAAAGAAAGAGGATTTGTATGAAAATGCTATTCAACGTACTATCTTGATGATGGGTCGTTACGTTGATGCAACTGAAGATGTACCTTCTGGTAAAATTTGTGGACTTGTCGGTGTTGATCAATTCTTGGTCAAAACTGGTACCATTACTACGTTTAAGGATGTACATAATATAAAAGTTATGAAATTTTCGGTTTCTCCATGTGGTACGTGTAGCAGTTGAACCCAAGAATCCTGCAGATTTGCCAAAATTGGTTAAAGGTTTGAGACGTCTTGCTAAGTCGGATTCTATGGTGTAATGTAACATCTAAGAATCTTGAGAGCACATTATTGCTGGTGCTGTTGAACTTCACCTTGAAATCTGTTCGAAAGATCTTAAAGAAGATCACGCCTGTATACCAATTAAAAAGTCTGATCCTGTCGTATTATACAGATAAACTATTGCAGAACAATCTAATTAGATGTGTTTGTCGAAATCACCAAATAAACATAACCGTTTTTACATGATAATTTGTCCAATGCCTAATGGTCTTGCCGAAGATTTTAACAATGGTGAAGTTTTGCTTAAGTACAGGAAGTCTTCAATAGGGTTGATGCTTTACGAAGCACTCAATAGTGGACTCTTTCGTGCTTCTCCTTTAAATGGGGAGGTGTCCTGTCCTAGTTTCGACCTTGTATGGCAGGGCGTGTTATCCAATGTAAATCATTTTATAAATAATATCTAATAGTTGGGATTTATCTTCCTGTAATACTATACGAAAAAAAAAATAATTTAAATTTTTGTTACTTACATTATAAGCACTCTTATAAACGACCATCGATGGTTAATATTTTGTTAGCATGTGATATTAGTATATACATGTGTCAATTGTCGTTCATAGGGTAACCTGCCTTACCTACATTACCGACTTGTGTTAGTAAACATTTGGTTAATGTAACAATTACTATTCCTCTCTCACGAATGAGTGATGGTCGGTAGTAAAGAGGGCATTTCGACGCGAGTGGGGGTACCTCCCACTCAGCCATGCTGGGCTTGTGATTCACGGTATTCCTCGTTTACGATCTACCGAAAACAACGAAATGACTCATTCGCGAGAATTAATTTCATTAATAACCTCTGTTCTAATAATAGGTATTCACGCGTTTTTTGTACAAGAAACTTTCTCTTYCAAAACGGCCTAAGACTACTTTTCTAGATTATTCTTCATTATACGCTAGAAACGAGAGCAGTCTTTTTAAAAATACTCTTTTGTTTTATTGGCTTGGAAGACGGACTTCTACATTATTTTTGTTAATTTATCCTCGTGTAATTATTTGAGTAACTTTGAAGAATATACTCTAGTTTTACCAGTATATTAAGTAACCTTATCTTAACAGCAAAAAACCCATATTACACTGAAATCCTGCGACTGTTTAATCTACAAAATTAGACAAGAATACGTGTTAATAATTCTTCAAAGGTAAGTATACCTCATCATACCTTTAAAATTGCAGGTGTTGGCTCTTCTAGCCCAGATCCCTGGTAGATTACAGGCTTTACGGACTGACCGAAAATAGGGAAAAAATTTGTGGGGTCACTCGTCTTTTACTCATTTAACTGCGGGGACATCTCAATATTTTGAATACTTTTTTTCTAAATTATTGAGATTTTGTTTAGTTAAGTACTATATATTTCAAATAAAAAGAGATTTAATAAGGTAAGTACTTTTATTCAAAAAGAAAAAGATTTGATAGTTTAAGTACTTTTACTTAAACAGAAAGGGATTTAATGCGTTTAGTACTTTTATTTTAATAGAAAAAGTTTTAATGCGTAAAGTACATTCTTTTAAATAAAAAGAGATTTCATAAGTTGAGAACTTTAATTCAAATAAAAAAAATTTTAATTTATTTAGTTTTTTTTTTTAAATAGCAAGAAATTTAATGAGTTAAGTAATTTCATTTAAATGATAAGAGATTTAATGAATTAGGTACTTTCTTTCAATAAAGAAGAGATTTTATAAGTTAAGTAATTTAATTTAAAATAAAAAGGATTTTATATGATAATTATTATTATTTAAATAGAACCAGATTTGATAAATAAA